TGGATGCAAAACACAAGAACACTGGTTCCTTTGCTCTAGATTCAAGTTCTTAACTTCAAAATTCAAAAGGAAAACCAAAAACATTTCATGGGATCAATACTTGGCAAGATACTGACAATCAAAAAGGCTTCAGAGGTGTTTCTAGATGGATCCCAAAATGCTAATGGCGAGTGACAGTACAGTTCTCTGTTGTGTTCTGAGTCCTGCTAAGACCTTTATAATGGCCCCTTATACCATCCCTGGAATGGCTGCAGACTGAGGCACCTCTCTGCACCTTTCCTCCCAACACACATCAGGCACCTCCTCCTCCTGCTCGTGTTGCTCAGGGCAGCGGGGAGGAGGGTTCACTATTGCCACTGGGTCGTGCTATGTTCCTAAGGCATGGGTAAGGTGACTTCTGGTTTTTACTGTATATAAATTGATTGTAGAAAAAATTTATATACCTTTGGCATACAAGGGGATTGGCTGTGTACCACCTGGAGCATCACCGACTGCAAGTTGTGAGAACTTCCAACTTAAGCCCTCTAGACAAATACATTTCTTAATGGAGAAGTAGTAAGCGTTGCATTCTGTTAATGATGCAATGACTACTACTGTGTTACGATGTATGGAAAAGGGAGGTTAAAAACAAAAATGAACACAAACTAAGGGAGCAGAAAAATGGATAGTTCATTCCCTAAGAGGTAAATTAATTTCAGCATTTCCTAGCAGCTGAAGCAAAGAAATAGGTAAGGTCTTGAGTTCTCTTTGACAGGGAAAGCAGCATATACATTTGTCTGGAGCAGCAAACTTCGCTGGCACTGAAGTATCTAGTAATCCTTACTTTAATGAATTTAAGTGATAACAGACATGTTATTAGGTTTTACTTCTGCAAAAGATACTGTGCATTTTCTTCAAATAGGTGTATCATATAGTATTTGTCTGTGAGAGCCCACAGCATGATATATTAAGAGGTAGGTAAAGGTAAGTAGTCCAGGCAGTATTGCTTTTTGATGATCTGGCCTAATTCCCAGATAAATTTTAGCAAAGCAAGAAGATGGAGTTCACCTATTCCCTACATACTTTCCCACAAATGTTAGAGGTCTCAAAGTTTTCGGCAAGTGCTAGATCATGTAAACCATGACTATATTTTCTGACAAGCAGATAAAATTCTACTTGCCATGTTGTTGCTATGTGATTTAGTGACTCCAAGAGTAAGCAGAATGGACATTCAGCTTAGAACATTAAGGACTGTAACTTGTAATTTAAGACAGCCATAAGACATGCCTCTGTGGGGGGCTGCTGGCAGCGGCATGCATGGTGACTGGGTCTTCAGTGAGGCCTCTGGCCTATTGTTTCTTAAAAAAACAACTTTTTGAATTTTCTAATACTTGGATAGGAACCAGGCTACACCTGTGTTAAGCAAACAAAAAAACAATAATTATTTATCACAAAGAGTGAAAATCTGATTTAAAAACATTTAAAAGTTGCAGTTACCTTGCTGTCAGTGACTTGACCCCAAATGAACCTTAACACTGGTCCCACAGAATGTGAACCTGACAAGAAGTCTTTCAGAGAGCGATCATATACGCTCTCAATTTTCAAGCTAGTAACTCAACTCTGTCATTTCAAGATACATATTTAATCCAATACCTTATGGTGTATGTTTTTTTTACCCTTACTTTATAAAAGTGTCTTCTTCAGGCTAAAGAGCACTCAACGTTTAAACTTTCCTGATACTCTCCTGCTTTTTAATCTTGGACAATTTTTGTAGTACTTGTCATAACTCAAGTTTGCTACATCTATCAACTTAGTCTAATACATGCAGAAAATATGACTGGCTTAGTTATCACAAATTGGGTATGCTTATTATAAAACGCATTTTTTAATATAATTAAATAATACATCTGTATTATTTACGAGCACGTGGTAGCTACCTCACTTTGAAAGAGATATTAATTCTTTAATTGGAAGTGTTAGAAGAAAACAGATACTCTATTAAATCTTTAGGAAGTAAACTCTTCAAACTGTTTTGATACATGAAGATTTTGAATTTGAATGCACAAAGGATGAAAACTTAATTTAAAATACAACTACTTTTCAGGCCTCACACTAGGACTGGTCTGTTAGCTCTGATAAGTGAAAAAATGTGAATATGACTGAAACATGTTCTTCCCTACAAAACTTCTAAAGGAACTCGAAGACTGTCTCTTGACATCTATTCACCAGAAATATACCTTACTCCAGCTTTCATGTACTACTTAGTGAAGCACTTATGACTTTGAGTCTTTTCCTGGTTGACTTAGCCAACTATATGAATCCTCTGCCTTATTTTACATGTTTAATGATCGACAAATATTTAATGAGCATCCTTTATGAGCAAAGTTCTGGGAGGAATAAAACGCGAGTAATGGGAGTTCATAATCAGTTGGTAGAGGGAACTAAGTGATTTTTAAGGTTTCTCCTAGTTCTAAGACTTACGTATGACTTTTTAGTAAGCCTCATGTATGACTATGTCAGCATCATCAACGAAAACAATGGCCATGGCAGCAAAATGCAATTAAACGTTTTTTGTATATTTTACCAAAGAAAATACCAAAATGTTTTGACAAGTATGAAGACATGAAAAAAAGCATTGTTTGACCATGGATTATAACTGTGAAATGGGAGGCACGTGGAAAAGCAAGGATGCAGAGAAGAGCCACATTAAGAGGCTTATTAGACCACGAATTTGGTTATACTGTGGGGTCAAATTATGCTCAGGTCTCTCTCTCTCCCTCATTAAAACAGAGAAAACTTAAAAGATGCTCTCCAATATAGATTTATAACATGATTTAAATATCTTTAATTACTCATCTACACAAATGACCTTAGATCAAGCACAGGCAAAATGTAAGTTGTAATCACATCTACATGTAGTGTGAAGGTTTCTAAAAATAATACAAAGTTCATTTACCGTGTACAAGTAAAAGCAAAGTTTTAAATATTTAAACACATAGCCATGATTGTTCAAAAGGTAGGCAGATTTGCAAGCACATTTCCATATTGCTAAAGCACCTAAAACTATAGCACATACCAGCTTAGAGAATTGAGACAAAAAGCATTACTTTGATCCCCTTTATTGGAAAGCTAAAATACCATATTTCTTTTCGAAGAAAAATACATCTAAAATAAATAAACATAAATTTATTAACTAGTTAAGGAATTTATCTCTTAAACCTCCACTCTGAATCTTAACATCATATGTAAAATTCCCACATTATAAGGTTAGGAAGCACCACAATCTAGAATGTTCCCTACTCATTTGTACACGATTCATTTGCATTTGGAGGCTAAATTATTTGTGGGAAGGAGTCTGTTGGAGTAATCTGAGAAATGGGGAATAATACAAAGGGGAGAGAATATAACTAAGCTAGTAAGAAAGGCTGACTGCTCCACCTGTAACTACAGCTCAGTCAGCTCAACCGTGAAGCAGTGAGAACCGCTTCTGTCCCATCGTGCGTTGCCTACAGATACTGACTTTCTAAATTGATACCCTGACCAAGTAAGTTTTAGATATAATCTATTTACAACTGTTCAGTCTCCCATACAGAGCTTTGTTCACTCTATTCTTTGCAAATTCTGACAAGGAAAACAAATGGTTCCTGGTCTAGTTAGAATTTAACTTCTGTACACTGAATATCTGAAGTGATTTGTTTAAATTTGAATCATTTGCAATTTTTGAACTACAGACACAACACACAGGGTTTACTGTTGAGAATCTGAATTTTATTTTTTCTTTTAATGACATCTGCATTTAATAAATATCTATCTTTCAAAAAAAAAGGCATGCTTAGTATGGGATCAGCTAAAAAGGAAAAAAATACGTAATCCATGAAAGAAGTCATATAACTGAGGAGGATGGGGGAATGTCTGGACTCTTACATGGGACTTTTAATATTAATTTTTATCATCTATTTATATACTTAAATTATAAACATTGATCTCAAAGAAATGAAGACACCCCAACCCCCTTTCTTAAATTTATACAAAGGGATGTGATAAAAGTACTAACTTAACATCAGCCTTTTGCTTGGGAGAAATTTGTAGAAATACAGCTGAGGCCATTTTTTCCTATCTATAGCTCACAGAAATAAATATGGTCCTACTCCCTTTTTTCTTTAGAAATAGATTTGTAGTTGTAAAGTGGTTGTGTTTTACAACTGCAAAAATGTTAATTACTAATTGCATGATGTCTGCTTCAGTGACGGAGTTACCTACTGGCCAGCACTGGTTAGAGGGAGTTAACCAGTGAGGTCATCTAATCTGTGTGCAGAACACTGAGGAGCTCTACTCCCTTTCTGTCCATCCACTATCCCTAGATCTGAAAGACACAGGGAGTGTTGACTGCTCACCTACCAAATAACAGCGTACACTGCTACTAGCTGCGTAAAACTGGATCTAATTTTCTTATCAAATAGTATAAAACAAACATTTACTGATTCTCAATTCTGAAATATTCTGTGATATCCTTCAACCTTGCATATTAAGTGGCAGATCTTGACAGAGATCTCAATGAAATGTATTAAAAAAAATGTATTAAAAAAAAGGGTAGTAAGGGAACTGTTACCAAAACATAATTCCAAGAAAACTGTAAAATTAAGTAAACTGTAAAATAAAAACTGTCACACAATGGGCATTTTTATTAGAATCATAAAGACTTAATAAAATTACAGCAAAGAGCAGAGTTAAATGAGAAAGTTTAAGTCAAAAATGGCATATCTCTTTGCTTGAAAGTCTTTTAGCCAATAAAAAAAATTTATACAAAACACATGAAAGTGCTGTGAGGTTACTATTGTAATTAACTGCAATGAATTAAACTTTATATTTTTCTTTAAACGTTCAGCTAAGATGGGGGATGGTCAACACTGGTGAAATAATTTCTACTTAAAATACAGCCTATTAAGAAAAGCCTTTTCCTGATGCCTAGTTGAAATGTTTGACAATAGTCTAAATGAAATTAGTCAATTGATTATTCTTAATCTTGCCTATCCTGTGTCACAATCCAATAGCTCCGTCAACAGGTAAAAAAACACTGTTAGCAGAAAGCCTAGCTCAAGTATACAACATCCAAAATGAATGAGTTTCAAATAGTTACAGAGTGTACAAAACATCAACCGAATCAGATAGGTACACTGCTGCCTACTCAGCTTCTAAGGCAACTCTCTAAGCTGTCAACAAGGGGCTGAAATCTCTCTCACTGTACACAGAATTGAAATCCAAATTAACCTGTTTCAGGGGTTCTTCTGTTAACTGTTTTCTTTCACATGATGAATATAAACTGAATTATCATGGCCAAATAGTTTTTGGATACAGAACATTACAGATACAGACAACAACTTAGCGGGTTACCATCATTTTATATACAATTGATAGCTTTTAGAACACTGCTGTAAGTTTTATTTCAAAACACCTAGCATTCTTCTTCTGGAAAAGAAAGTGACATCAAGTAACATGAGCTAATGTATTAGTTGAACTAGTGCCACCACAAACGAGACAACAAGCAGGAGAGCAGGTTTCTTATCTTCAAGGACTGGACCTAATGGCCATAGCACTTACATTATCCCAATTTGTCACTTCAATGCAAGGTAACAGGATGTTAACACCACTTCCTCTACTCTGCCATTCAAAAGGCAGCTGATGGTTAAAGTGCCTCTAACACACGTAAATTATTTTTATTCCATGACTTTATTTTATGTTTATAAAGGTGGAATAGCAGAAGAAAAAAAGGCAGGACAAAAGACTCTGGAGGTCTCCTTCTTCAGATGTGATGTAGAGGTGATTACATTATCAGTAGGATTCTGTAAAAATAAACACAGTTGATAAATTTAGGTCTGGGGAGACAAATGCAAAATTTCTAAGTAAACTTTATTACTGCAGGATTATAAAAATTCTGAAGCTTAACTGCCTAACTTTGTTAGTTTTATTAAATTTAAAATATCACCTACCATAACAACATAATTTTATCAAACACGACGTATGAATCAAAAAATGCTAAAATTCATTTCTTATAGAAAAAAAGTTAAAAGCATACTATATTAAAATCGATCAGTAGAAGGAATCTGTGTATGGCTGTGTTGGATATAAACATCTTCAGCAATTATCAGAATTAGTTACTTAAAACTATCAGGCTGAGGAACTCCACACATGTTAAAACCATCATTGAGAAACTTCCTTAAGATGCTCGGTAACTTTCATAAGATGGTCAGAATGAAGCAAGGCTACCATTTTGGCAGATTTATTCTTTTAAGTGGATTTGGAGGGTACAAAATAGATCACCTGACCAGTTCACAGATATCTGTAACAGTTCAGAGTCATAAATCCCAAGGGTTAGGAAGGGCCTCAGAGACTAGACAGGTAGGGAAGAAAGCAAGTTGCAAGGAATTCCCTGTACACAAATAGCACACCCTGCCTCTTAGGACTGCCCTGGCCTGCACATGGGACAGCCACTCCGGCAGGAAAAGCATGTCCCAGCAGCAACGGTAACTCTAGATGTTACACTGACCAGCTTCGGGGAGTGACACTCAATATCACGTAAAGCATGGTCTGGCTTTGGGCTTCCTCATTTCATTAAAAAGACAGAAATGTAGTTTATAATTTTAATGGGGTTTCTGTGACTTGCATGAATTTTCTCCCCCCTAAAACCACATTTGTAAACAAACAAACAAAAAAACCCCACAAAAATATCAAGTGAACTCTGGTGCTGAAGAAGAGAATCTCCAAATCCAGAAGGTTCTCAAAACGTGCATCACTAACATTAACATAGTAATTATGTTGACAAGGAAGATATCATAACACTTCACAGTTTTAAAAGAAAATTTTCTGATGTTGTAAAAAACATTTACGAACATAGACACTTAACACTGGCATTATTTTTGGCATGTGTTAAAGACTATTGATATTTACTTTCTAGACATATTTTTGTATATATCTGTACATCTGTCTTAACTTATGAAAGAGACAAACAAAACAAAGTAACAAAGCATTACTCTAAAGCTTTCTAACTCCTTCCTCTCTCAGTCATTGCTGGTGCAGTGTTCTGAACGGTGTGGGTCTGAGCTGTGCTTCCCTTTCCAGCTTGCTCTCTCAGATATATTGCCCCTACAGTAGAGGAAGGCAGGCAGTTTGGTTTAAGAGCCTTTTCCGAATGGAGTGCACAGGGAGGGAATCTTGCACATTTCTACTCCTTCCAGTTCTGACTGTGTTGCAGGCAAACTAAAGGGTAAAGCTCACAGATACAATGATTAATTAAATATTTTAAATAAATGATAATGTCTTAATTATAGCATTTTCCTTCTCTCAACTTCTTTACTAAAAGCAAAAGACTTACTAATTATAATTCTTCAGTGATAATTAACAATTAACTATGCTACTAAGGGAAGTCTTTAAAAATACCCTATTTTATTGGGAACATGCTCATAATGCCAAACTATAGAATCATACAAGAAAGTACACACATCCAGAAGAGTACTAAATTCTAAGGCTAAGTTACTTTAAACAGGAAAAAGGTATATCTAAATATTTTTAAACATAAGAGAATAAGATTAAGAACAATTATTGAAATTTTTAGTCAAGCCAAATAAAAAGTTTTGCCAGGTAATATACACATAATTATCCATCGACTACGAATAATGAGGAATAAAATAATGAGAGCTACAGTTCAATTCTTTACGTGCAGAAAATTTATGAGCCACCTGCATATTATGAAATATCTTAGCTTTGTTCACCTTTGTTCTGTTCAAAATGAGTTCTAGAGGATATTTTTAGTTCAGCCAGAAGGCAATCAAGTTATTCAAAGGAACGTTATAGATATGAAATTTAGAATATAGTTTCAGAGATTCCTGCCATTAAAATTATTTGGTTACATTAAAATTATTAAGCAGTGGGCAAGATATAGTTAAGTAGAATGATAAACTATTAAAGTAAGTTTAAAATATAAATTTTGCATTTAGTTAGTACTAGTGCAGTAAAAGGACTTTTACTTACTTATTACAGTTTATTTCTCCTGATGAAGAGCTTCAATAAAAGCATCAAGTTTTTCTTGAATTTCTCTAACTTTCTCTGTAGAGATAAAAAGATGATAAATTGGTTAAAAACATTTATTTTTCAAAGGCATCATAAATTGTAGGAGATAATTATTCAATAAATGGTCTGGGATACTTTAACTATTTGGGAAAAGGGGAAAAAATTACCTTAGCACCACACACCACCTTATATGCAAATAAAGTTCAAACGGACTGTAGTAGCAGCTCTTAACAACTGTTTTGGAAAAGGGAAGCAGGTAGGTTTATGACAGATCCCTTTGAGAAGCTAATAAAAGTGATGGAATCTTACACAGAAAAATGTATGTATAGATGCACGTACAATTCTGTATAGAATTTTAAGGAGTTCTCAGATTCTCTGGTGTCCAACCGAGGACTCACAGTTTGCAACATTTAGAACAGAAGCAAATATAAACTAATAAAACCATTTTTAAAAATTAAAAGAGAATGCAGGTGAGTATTTAACTGGCTTTAGACTAAGAAATGACTTTCTAGGTATAAAGTAATGGAAAGAGTTACAAAGGAAAAGATCAACCAATATGACCATATTAAAATGTACACTTTATACGTAAAAATGTCCTAACATTAAAAGGCGAAAGAGAGCTGGCCTGGTGGCGTAGTGGTTAAGTTCACATGCTCCACTTCAGTGGCCCAGGGTTCGCAGGTTTGGATCCCAGGTGCAGACCTACACACTGCTCACCAAGCCATGCTGTTACGGTGTCCCACGTACAAAAAAGAAGAAGACTGGCACAGATGTTAGCTCAGTAACAGTCTTCCTCAAGCAAAAAGAGGCAGATTGGCAACAGATGTTAGCTCAGGGCCAATCTTCCTCACCAAAAAAAAACAAAAAAAAAGATGAAAGGAAGTGCAGGAAATATTTGCAACAAACATGAAAAGGGCAATAACATGTTAAAAATACATGCAAAAATGTACTTTTCTAGCTATGAATGAGGAAAGGAAAGTTTAAAAACACCAGAGCCACTAAAGACAGATTTACATTATTTTATTTGATTTCAAATGTTCATGTTCATAGACTTGAAAATAAAATCTATAATTTCTCTCTGAAATGTAAAGATTTCCTTCACAAATGTAAACTATTCACGGTACATGTCAATCTCCTAATATTAGAAACGGAAAAGTTATGATTTATTCTACTTCACTGCTAACTTAATCACGCAAATCCTATTTTAAAATACAGGTTATAGTAGGCATAGCAACAAATATTTTTGTCCTTTAACACAATTTAACAATTTAATTATCAATTGAAGCAACTGGTTCAAAGCTAGTGACCCAGAGGCAAAACTGCCAAGCATTCTTTTTATCTATAGAAAAATCATCTAAGATGCATTAATATTCAATATTTATATCTTTTTTTTTCTGTTTGCTGAGGAAGATTCGCCCTGAGCTAACATCCATTGCCAATCTTCCTCTTTTTTTGGTTGAGGAAGATCAGCCCTGAGCTAACATCCATGCCAATCCTCCTCTATTCTGTATGTGGGATGCCTCCACAGCATGGCTGATGAGTGGAGTAGGACCATGTCCGGGTTCTGAACCCGCAAACCTGGGTCGCAGAAGTGGAGTGCACGCACTCGGCCATGAGTCTGGCCCCTTTAACATTTATATTTTACATTTAAAAGTAAATAATCTGCAATTGAAGATATAAGTATCCCTTTTTACCAGTGAGACAGCATTTGTGATGAGCAGCCAATAAAAGGGAGATTTGTCCTTTTTACGAACTCATATTAGCATTGCAGGAACTCAACAAAGCCTACCATGGTTGCATATAAAGAACATAACGTCTTCATATACTTTTTCCAGTAATTTAACACTTCTAATTCTTGGTATTAGACTGAGACTAACAAAATCTGTAGGAAAAAACCCCCTATTGTTTTAATCAAACTATTTACTGAGGAAATATGATAATAGTTATTGCAAAGGCAGCATTAACTTCTTATATATAAAATTAAACCAGAGAAACTAGAAAAAATAATCCCAACCCAACTCTTGGAAGTTTAGTCTGTACTTTTTGGTAGTCTGTACTATTTTTTAGCCAGCAGTCAAACTAGTAAACATACTTCCTTGCTCAAAATAAGGCCACATTCTTACTTTTAAAATTAATTCATCTAGTTGCTTAGGAACAGCTTCACCTATTTTCCTCAATGAATACTTAGAGAGTTCCAGAGAGTGCAGTTCATCAGGTGAAGATGGTTAAGGGGTGGGGGGTGGTAGGAGAAAAAAAGAGTTTTCTAAATTATCTCACAGAATTTTGGAAATGGATGGGGTCTTTAAAAAATCATCTAGCTTAGACAGTTAAAACACGTGGAAATCTAACACGTGTTTAGAGCCTCAGCAGCTCCTCTGAACATTTCACTGAGAAATTATTTCTACTTGGGAAAGCTGTACTGTATGAAGAGAGGAACTCTATTCTATTTGCTCCATGATCTGAGCACAATCAGGCAGCTGCAGGGCCAGCTCTATCCATCCTTTTGCCCCGTCAATGACCTCCATCCTCAGCTGGACAGACTATCTGTGAGTGGGTGGTACAGTAGCCTCACTCACAAGAGACTGTTCAGAGCAAGATCTATTTGTATTGAAAGAGACCAAGAGCCACTCCGATGCAGGTGTCTAACTGTGGAGTCTGAATCAAATTCAAATTCTTCTACAATTAGAGATAAGCAATATTTTTTCTAAATGAAAGTAAAAGGACTATTTTAATTAACTTGAATATGAAAACCACAGGATAAAGAATTACCAAATTTCTCTTAAAAAAGCTGTTTTTATAAAATATTTTACAATTAGAATATCAGGACACTAAACCACCATACCCTGAAACCTCAGGAATGACTCAAACGGCGTTTAAATAAGGTTCTAGGAAGTAACGGGGGGGGGGGGAGAAGGGGAGGGGAGGATGGAGGTAAACGTTAAAATAGAATAACTGTGATAAATGTATCCTTTTAACACTAAATTAAAAAATCCATTTCTTTCTTGGTTCCTTCACGGATACAATGCACTTAATGGAGTGATACGGGGACACAGATGATATCCTGTCTTTGAGAAGCATTCCCTGCTTACTCCCTACCTCATTCTAAGTCTGTGAAGTGTCTACTATGTTTCCACTGATTTCAAATCCCACATTACATTTGGTCCTCATACAACCCTGCAGGTCTCACTGCCAGAGGAGGACACTGAGCCTGGAGAGTTAGCCATGTCCACGTTCCTCTGATTCAGAAACACATGCGAGATCTGCTACCCTATGCAGACTCTAAATGTAACAAAACAAATGCTATGATTTCACATGCATTTGTTAGAAGTTTTACTTTTTATGTGAAATAAGACATATTTTGGTAAAAATTAGGGAATGGAATAGTTAATAAGCACCTCCTAAGAAGTTCTGTGTATAGGAATGACTAAAAACGTAAAATATACTATCATCCTCTGATGAGTACTGTCACCTCTTGAAGAGACTAGATCTATAGACATTCGGAGAAACTCTGGGAGAACCATATAAGACTACAAAACTGGACAAAAACAGTTCAGCATCCTCAGTTTCCAGAACAATGTCTGGCTTACTATAAATGCTCAATAAATACTTGATAAATGATAAACGAAGTTCCCAAAAACACAGCACAGAAAATAAGTGCTGGTGGTTATCAAGAAGGAAAAAAGCCTCAACAAGCTTACTGGATGTTATACCAGTGACCAAGAGGAAAGGAGCCAGGACCACAAGAGCTAGAGCAAGCCTAGGGACAGGAAGCAGGGTACACATTGACAATGATGGTCAACGAGAGCTGGTGGGTCACCTGAACCATATAAGCAACATGGAACACTCGGGTCTCACAATACAATACCAGGGGAAATAGAAACTTCAACTTAATTATTGCACCTTATCACCAGGCTAAAATATGGTGATATACACACGCACAGGCACTCGCAGCTTTAGAAAGTCAACTGATTTCCTGCTTTGCAAGGAAGCTATACTACAAAGAATAAGCAGCATTATCTCCCAGATTTGAATTCATTCATTTTCAACCCTGATGTAAGTTTTCAGCACTGTCTTCTATACTAACTACGCCATCCAGCTGTGCAGAAAACTGAGTTATCCATAAAAATCGAGGTTGAATGTTAGCAACTAAAACTTTCCACTTTCTGATCCTTCCAAATTAATGACCCAGGATTACAGTGTTTTCAAATCCCAAAATCTCATTGTATTTAACTATTTCACCATTAGAAATTACTTTCCCACAGAAATATACGCACAGATTAGCATGGCTAATTATAAAGCAAACTCCTTTTTCTATTAAATATTTGAAATAAATATTTATAGCTAAAGAATTCTTATAAAATTTGTGATTTACTTGTTAAATTAAACCAACTCAGGAAGGGATTAACAAACTGCTATTTCTGTTACACTGAAATAGCCAATTCTACATGTAGTGAATACTGAGTCTACTTTCCATTTATCCAATGTTTACTTAAAAGATGAACTATTTCAAACATCAATTCATTGTGCTTCTTGATTGAGTCATGAATATTCCCATAATCCCCAACTCATAAACCGTCAGGCTCAGTGAATAAAGTTCCTTCTCTTTTTTCTTTTCTTCAGATGACTTGACACTCAATCATGTTTTGGGTCTCTTTTTCTCCACATGAAATGATACGGCTACTCTCCTTTTCTTTTTGAGTTTTCTGATACTTGCTCTAAAAGTTTCAAATATAGACTAATCTGTAATTAGGTTTTGAATACACTGTGAATACCAAAAGGCCAAACCCGGGAGAAGGCTCACTTTCACTGGTTAATGACAGTTTAGAACAGGAACAAAGCACCACACACAAAACACTACTACATGCACTGAAATAAACCTTTTTACAACTTTTGATGTTTTTAAAGAAAGCATGAAGAAACAAGCTGTAAACTTACTAATGCAGTGTACACATCCAAAGATCCAAATGTACCTTAATAGAACTGTTTTATAACATGCTACATACACACTTTATACGAAGCTTAAGGACACCTTGGAG